CCTTTCCTTTGTTGACAGTTGAAGAAATTAAAAACTGAGATACCAGCAACACTGACTCAATAACTGATTGCCTAATATACAGATGGAAAAGATCATATTTGGCTGTGCTTCCAGTTTCCTTTCAGTATTGTCTCTATTCAGGTTTAAAGGTTTTGTCTTGGTGAGGTGAGCACATGTGAGATAAATGGTTTCATTATAAGGAAGTAAGCGAGGAGTGAAGCCAAAACCAGTGAGATTGTGGTTTATAATAAACCTGCCGCTCTATCAAACCAACAAAAAAACAATCAAATCAAGAGAAGATGCCAGCTTCTTCTTTGTAAGGACAGGGAAGGGCTGTCAGGGTAAAAATCTGGCTGGCAAACTGACTGACATGACATTGGATGAAGATCCGTGATATTTCCTAAGCGTCTCTGAGTCTTACGGTGTTGTAGTGAGTTTTGTGTTTTTGTTCAAAACATCCCGTGTCAGGACGCCTGAGACGTCGGAGGATTACTGTAAGCTTAGCTCAGGTGACGTCTTCTGGAGGGTGGGGGTGGGGGGTAAGGTATGAGGGCCCTCCATAGCCCTGTTCCAAACCACTCCAAAAGCAAGGAAAAGTATCATATGGGGTGCTCAGATCATTTGAAGATACAACACTACACACCATCAAAGGCAGTTCACTCAAAGTTCTCATTACCCCATTTCTCAGATGCATTACTGTTCCATGATTACATATTTCAAAAGCTCTCAACGGCAGGTTAAGCGGGCCGGTATGTTCACTCAAATCATTGTAAATGGCTCCTTCAAAATCCCCCCAAAGAGCAGATCCTGCCTGTGTTCTTACCTTAATGCCACTAACAATAGCTTGAAGCTATTTGACCACTGTGTTTACTTGTAAAATCAGATAGACCATGGGAAGTCAGATAGACCCTGTGAGGGCCAAACAGTTGTGGATCTCTCTTGTGGGGAGTGGATATTGTCGGCTATCTCTGGCTTCCATCGCAGAGCCTCAAACAGCACGCTGTTAAGAGAGTGCATGAATGAGCTCTGCACCCATACAGTATCTCTGGAATCACATAAAGACAACCTTGTGCTCTGCAATTTACTGTGCAGCGCTCAGGTGCTTGTGCATGTCTCAACCAGAGGAAAAACAAAAGTATGACTGACATAATCATGTGTCAGAAGATTTATGGTCAGAGAGAGCGAAGGGGAGAGAAAAACTGGAGAGCACATTTTCTCGCCCCTCCTCCTCCTTCAAATTATTGTCTTTAGTGCTGTCCACTTGTTTGAGTAAAATGTTGGAAGCTGTTGAAACAGAATAGTCCACACACACAGAGCCTTGTGTTAATGAAGGCCCTGTAAAATGTATACTTTAACAACTCTTTTACTGTGAAATTGTGAGTCATTTCCTTCTTCATTGGTGGCATATTTTCAGTCAAGTTCTTTGGAAAAGTAAACGCAAGATGTTATGTTTCACGCCTAATTGTAATTCTGTGAATAGCTCGCATGCAGACAAAAATGACAATACAATAGCTAAGACTGTAAAGAAGGATGACCACTTTTTAACATTATAATTAGGTTTAGGTTTATAATATGAATCGGAAATATATCTTGAAATCTATCACAATCTATCACTGTTTTAACAAACGTCTGCATCATCAGTTAAATTTTAATTTAAGCTATAAATCTGATCACTGGTGCAGTCAAGGCTGATCTAATGATAAAACAGAAAGCAGGATGGATCTTGCTTAAATATGTTTTAAAAGACTCATTGTTGGCTTTGACTCTAATTGCTGGCTGGAGCACACTGCTGGGCCGCCCTGATGTAACAGGTCATGGGAGCAAATCAGGGAAGCTGTGGCAAGTATCCAGCAATAACACAGGGAGTGAGCCAGACAACTAACCATAAATCTGCAGCTACCACCAATTTCCAACTACTGCAGGTGACGGGTGAGTGTGTGTGTGTGTGTGAGTGTTTGTGTGTCAATGTGTGTGTGTGTCTTTATAAACAAAACTCCAAAGGGTATCGCAACCCCACTTCAGAGCAACATGGATATTACACCCCAGAACATCTTGGCATGGGCCTGGTCCTGTTTATGGAGAAACACAGCTAAGAGTATAATTAGCATTTCAGTGATCCTGCAGGGTGTCTGACTTAGGCTGCGATATCAAAGAAGGTGGTATTTTGTGCTTGTGACTCAATGAGGATGAAGTGACTGTGGCCTCTGTGTGGTGGTGTTTTGCACCTGACTGGAAAACACTGCAGGTGGATTATCTGGAGTAGTATCTAAACTGAATTATTTGTTTGTTTGTTCTTTCTTTTAAAGGCATGTTATGCTGTAAATTAAAAAGTTTGATGGTGAAAAATCCTCATGATCAGTCCCTGTAAGGGCACCTTGTAACCTTACAGCACAGCATTCAAAGTATCCACACAAACGTGGGATTTTGCCCTTGTCATTCAAAAGTTAGATTTACTGCAAGTGAAAGTAAATTAGTGAAAAAGTGTAAAAGACTCCAGAGATGTAAGTGTTTTGTTCATGAGATAATGTGATGTGCGCCTGGAACACAAAACCCTAGTTTAGGTTTAACCAGAGCTTTTTGAGCAGCTGCCTTTTCTTATTCGTGAGTCTTTTGTATCAATATTATGAAAGGTGAAAGCTTTTGTCAGACAGAGACAAGCCTCTGTTATTATCCCCTTCACGCCCTTTTCTCTTTATTCTGGGCAGATTATCATTGCCAATGACACACGATACGGATAATCTACTGTAAATTAAACCTGAATTCTCATGTGTCTCAGCTTTTTAAAAGGGGAGGGAAAAAGGGGGGGAGTTTACAAGGAAAATGCCCATGTGGAAATTTACTAAAATACAGCACAGGTGAAAACTTTACAGGCTACATTTGTCACTCTCAGGGGATTATTGGGAGCAGGTTTTCCGTCAACACCTTGGGCCCGTCTCCTCACTCCACTTCCAGGCCGATGAGAGTGGAATCCGTAACGACTGTGGGCTTTAGCATCGTTAACATTTCCCTGACATGTCGGCCAGCCTCTCTTGGAGACTGCCCTGCATTTTCTCTGCTGCACTGGAGTTGTTGTAGCAACTAGTGGCCCAGGAGTGAATGAAGCAGATGTGCGAGTCATCTATCACCTGACAGCTCCCACTCCCCCGACTGAGCAAGTCATCTCCGTGACAGTCTGCCTGACCGGTCTCATCAATTACACTGGTACCCTACCATTAGAGCACAAACACTTTTCTCCTCTGACACATTCAACTGCTTCCCAGTCTGCAAGATGGGCCCTCAATTAAGGCTGAATAACTTTCCCCTCTCAAAGGACGTCTCTATTTCTGTGGCAAACAGTATTGCACACATTGTACTTGTAGGCTAAGCTCTTTGAAAATTGATTTACCTCCATGACCGTATGATATTTAAGAATATTTATCCCTATTTTATGACTTTACGATTGCCTAATGATGATGCAAACCACATTATAGAAGAGCATTAATAAAGATTTACTTTTATGTTCACTTGAAAGTTTAAGTAATGACTCCAACAGTTAACCGATTCCTCTATTATGAACAATTCATGTAATTTATGTCTTTTAAGATTCTATAACTTCACTTCTACGTTGCTTTATGACAAGAACATTTTATGGTCAATATTTCTTTTCTTAAATTTTCACTCATTTTAAACTGTACATCATTTTTTCTTGTTATCTAGCAATTTACAGCACATTACAACTGCTCAAGTATATTTTATCCTTGCAAAACCAAACATTCTACATAGGTTTTTTTAATATATGATATGAAAGAGTGAGAATGGATGTATGAGAAAGCAATAACGGAAATCATGTCTTGTTAGTGTTATTCTGTTCCTGTATTCCATCAGTAGTAGTCATGAAATGCAGTAAACACAGACGTTTGAACATAGACACATATAAACAGTTCCTATCACTTACAATATACAACTATGGCAGTGACAGCAGAGGCCAACTTAACATATATCAGATTTTTTTTCACAAGGATTTAAAAACAGGTCTCAGGGTCAGGTCTTGACATTGAATATGCAAAAGATATAAATAAGACATTCATATAAAAATAGGCTTTTACAAAATATACTCTATTAACCAATATTTACCAAAAGTGGAAAATGTGCCTGTGTTTTTGATCAGTGAATAAGTCCTGTTAAGCTAAATCGGCTTGAAGTAAGCAATGCCATTGAAGACAGTCAGTAGAGCATATAGCCTTCTACCTCAACAAGTGGGATTCTCTAGACTAGCAGCAAACAGAGGGAAGACTAACTCATGAGAGGGTCAGAAGGTCAATGTGAGTAGCCTACAGCAGTTTCATCTGGAACAACAGTATTCTATTCATAATTCCAGGCAGATTCAAATCCAGTGTGTTAACCGTGGAAGTTTTGATTGCTTTAATACACTAAAACCTCCCAACATTTAGTTATTTTTGATCCATAATGGACAAAATCAGTAGTTTCTTTATAGAATAAATTAATATTAATTATTTTCGTTTTCTAAATACAGAATGTTAAATATTACAAATGGCTGTGTCATTTCATCTGTGCACAGAGTGAGAACTACAGCAGTGTGTTCTGCCCAGCAATCACATCCACCATAATTCATTTGCATTGGCAAAGTCTATTTCCTAAATGTCAGAAAATGTCCATATAGCTTAAAGTCTTGACATTTTGCTTCACTGACTCACACCGTGGTCACCAGCCCCACATGCCACGGTACAGTTTTTCCCTTAACGGTGTTTAGTTGCACTGTTTCGACATTGCACCCCAACAAACACAACAGTCCAAGAAGAGGGTTGAAGAGCTTTGTGTGCAAAAGAATCATGACGCCCCATCGTCAGCTTACTGTATACACAGTAGAGTAGTTCCTCATTATGTATGAAAAGACTGTAATAACAGCCTTCTTGTAGAGTTTAAAAGTTCCAGTTTGTCCATAAAAATGCAAAGTCATGAACCCACATGCTCACATACATCATCATCAGACACACACACGTTCACATTCACACACATACACATACACACTCACACACACACACACACACAGACACAAACACACACAGACACACACACACCATCCAATAAATATTCTCATTTGCATGTGTACACTTCTGTCCTCTCACTGCAGGTGTTGCATTTAACGTAGCAGCACCACAGAAACTTGCAGTTGCACTGCCAGACACGGGAGTACTGGTGTGTGTTGTATCCACGGCCACAGCACATCAAGTCACAGCCACTGATGTGCTGCATAATAGTTTTGTTACACACCCTGCCCTGTGTCCCCAAGCTCCCCGTCACAGGGTCCGCCTCACAGTAGTTAGGCGACTTGTCTATGTATACCAGGTCTGTATCCGTGGGCTTCCGGTAAGAGTAAGGCTTCTTGATCTTCAGGAATTTTGGGCGCTTGTGGCGGCTGGCTTTGACTGGTTCCACGTGCACCGCAAGGGCATACTTGTCCTTGAGAATGTAGCCGAGCTCGCGGAACTTGGGAAGTGTAGTCCAGCAGGTTTTGGTGGTGCAGGAGCCTGAGACACCATGACACTTGCATTCCAGTCGCATGTTCTTCTCCAGGATCTAGACACACAAAAACAACTTAGTATTGTAGTAACAACCGGCAACTGTTAAAACACTCCAGTGATGAGTGAGAGTTACGCTCTCATGGTAGGTTAATAACAGCCATACTAGGTTATTAAACCAATTATCATGCTGTTTACTAGAATAATGATTTCACTATTTTATCTGTTAAAGGCATTTGATAGTGTTATTTTTATATGTATTTATATTTTTCAGAATTTAATTAAATTAGAGTTCACGCAATGTCTACTTATTGTAAAACCCTGGTGTATTGCAGATGGTCTCAATTCACATTTCAGCTGTTGCACTTCAAGGCAAGTGACAAACGTGCAACTTAATAACAATGTGACTGACAAATACACTATGGTTGGGGATTAAACAGAGCCCCACCACATTGCTGTGTGATACCATACACACAGAAGCCAAAATAATGTATCAGATTTCAGGCTCTGTGTGTGTAGTTACCACACACAACACACAAATGTCAAGAGTGACTGTACAAGGCGCCGAGTGACTAGGATTACTGCTAAACCCTGAACTGATGACAATGAGAAGTGCCATTGACTGAAACTGGAATTTTCTTTAGCAGCAAGGTCAATAGCAATTTCCTTTTGCTAAAATGCTAGGAGTTTGGTATGCAATATGGTCTTCTAAAGCCATTGACGAGATATTTATGCCTCTGTGTTCTTGGCAAGTAAACTACAACGATAAAACCCAAATACAGACGTGTGAACAAGAACCCAAAAAGAAAACTACTTTTCTCTGAGCAAACCACTTCATAAAACCCTTGGCTTCAACTCCCTAATCCATCAGTTGTTCTGTGACCAACACTTGTGACAGCCTTTGTCTGGCCGTCTTCGATCAGGGAGCTGTGAACGGCGCTCCTGCTCAGTGTCACTGCTTTTGATTAGCATAAATAAAGGAAGAGGGGGGCTAGCTATCAAAACAGAGAGGCCATTTATTAGCAGAAAGAAGAGAAACAGAGGAAAACCGTGCAAAGTTTGAATCCACAATTGCAGTCTTTTTTTTCCCTGGGAGGCAATTTAGCTGTCCAGATAAACCAATTTGAATTCATGGTCCTGAAACGCACATAGAAAATGATCTACTAGGTACAATTGTGTGTGAGGAGGCCTTTCAGCCAGTGTGGGGATGGACGTGTTGGTTGTGTGAATCAGGCTGCTTTGGCACGGTGAGACAGAGAGAGAGGATATGAGTTAACTTGGGCAAAGCTGCTTCCTTATTCTTCACTAACTCCTACCTCACTTTAGCTTTTTGGCACATCATTCCACTCAATCTCTAACCTCTAGACTTACTGGAGTCTCTTTGTCACTTTGCAGTGTTCTGCAGCCATGCATGCAGAAAAAACATCAAATGAGCAGGTCAACACATCATGTAAACCATCCCTTCTTGCTCATTTTCTCTTCTTTGTATTTTATCATATTATTGTTGTCTCTTGTTCCATTTTTATTTTGTAATACTCTTAATTTAACTTTAGCTTAAAATAAAAAGAATATTATTTTATTATCATCTCACTGTAGGCATTACCAGTTACATCGTATATTGATTGATCCATAATCCAATGTGGACCATATCCCTAACCATTAAGTTGAAACTGTATATTAGAGTCAGTATGCAGGTGGAGTGTATATAACTACAGTCATCTATACAGCAACGGAGACACATACAAATCAGTGATGATCAAACCTAGTAACCAAACAGTAAACACCCCTGTGGTGCATGTACAAGCACATTGCACCTGATGTGGGTTGATGATGTTAGAGAAATTGTGGGTGTGGATTGTCATAAAGGTAACTGTATACTGTCCCAATGGTGCAAAGCATGTGGGGGAGTGGGCTAATGCCTTTTTGTACAGTGTCAATCTGTTTTCAGTGCAGAGATCTGGGTTGTAATCAAACCCTGCCACTTACACTGCTCTTCCCCTAAAAGCAGTCTTTTATTCAACTGCTTGTCCAATCTTGGCCCCACTTCCCAGATCTTTGGCAGAGACTGTTAGTAGCTACTGAGGCCAACCTTAGACTAGTTAACCACCGGTTCACCATCACATGTAGTCGTCACTTTATATAGTCATTGTGCTGAATAATGAGACATACTCATATTTCTAATCACTTACCTTGCGTCCCACCTCATTATTATGGAGGTTCATGAGTGTCCTTGCATTCTGTTTGACCTCCCGAGCATCGATGAATACTTTGGAGAGGTGCAGGCCATAGCTGATGTCTGCCGAGCAGCCTCCCCACTTCCAGCCTTGGTCTTTACTGTAGAAACCCTGCTTCTCCTTGTCACAGCTACAGTCACTCAGGTTACCCTGTGTACAAGCGGCTGTAATGGCATGGGCCACCCCTGCGGCAATGATGGCGTAGGTGAACGCAGCCTCTTTACTGCCTAACGGAGCAGGAAAAAAAGCTGATGTATAAAATGTTGCATAGAGATTTTTTGAAACAGAGAATGTTATGGTGTTTCTCCTCTGTCTAAGGAAAATACAATAAGTACGTAACAGGACTTTTAAATAGGAAAACGAGATTAATTATTAACAGTATGTGTGCTTACATCACAGTCTTACTGACATATGACTCAAGGGCTGCAGTGTTTTGAAATCTGACCTGTAAACTGTCCTGCTTGTGAACCAAAATGGCTGCTGGCAGTATAGTCAACAAAGCAGTATGAATAAGAGGGTTGTCGGCAAGGAAGGGCTATTGATCTGTTCAGAAACTGTCACATTCTGTGTAAACTTATAAGGCACTGACATCAGAATCTTCATCCTGCTGTTATCTTGCCCTAAGTCCAGCTAACAAATCATTTACACACACGGAAATATCGACAAATAACTGAAGGTTAATCTGACACGACTATTGTAGACAGATCCTGACACTAAGTTTTCCAGTCAAATAATAAGCTGAGAAGAAATCACTGAGTAAGTCTAATATATCTTACTCTGCAATACTCTTACTATAAAAGCCTTATAGTATGCAAACAAAGCAATAATATTTCCTTCTAATACAATGTGGAGGGTCCATAGAGTAATGAACATGCAGAAACAAGTAATATGTTTTAATTTTCAAATCTGAGATTCATTATCATGCAAACAGGAAACTCCTAGTTGTAACATCCATCATATCTATGTGTAAATAAACTCCTCGTCTCTGTTTGTTCAAAACAAACATCATACTTTCTTTGTGCTTCCTCCTGCCACCACTATGTAAAGCTGCCATGTTTTTGATAAACATCTTGGATGTGTGCCCTTGCCATTGAAAAAAAAAACTCATATTGAGGCATCAATTATGTGGACGTTTTTATAGACTTGATGGGCTCCAAGCCAAAAAAGAAGGTGTGTCAGTGCAGTCAGCCAGTTCTGACTGCACCGTTGTTAATTTTTCCCCTGCAGTTCTGAGTGCATGGGTTCACCACAAGAGATGGTATGTATTCTTCATAACCTTGTAATGAGAAGTGGAAGATATTAAAAAGAGAGTAGAATTCAAAAGCCTGTATAAGTTGAACAAGAAGTGTCAGTTCACTGGCCATGTATGTTTCTCTTTCATCTCTGCAGAGTCATGCACCTCTCAGTATCCAGCCTCTTTATATGGACCTCATCTCATACAGCTTAGTGTAACTACACAGTGCAAACACAGTTGAGGCCTAAAATGGCTCAAAGCTGATGCACCTTGCATTACAGATACGCATTATGTCAGTTCACTGGTCATTCTTCCTTCGCTTTAAGAACAATTGCAAGCTCTACTGCTCCACTCAGCCTAGGCATCAACAATGGCATTCATTTACAGCCATTGCCCTTCTACGCTAATCTGATCAGTGAAACCAATCTATTCGGTATGGCTGTCCAAGCCATAGACTTAAACTCCTGTCTTTGAAACACAGACCAAGACTCTTGATGAGCTAAAACCACTCATTCATAAAGGAACAGATTGTCAAACACCACTGTTTTCATTTCAACAGCATGAAGAGATAATCCTTTCTTTCCAACAGCAACAGGCAAGATGGCCCCAAACAGCTGGTCCAAGCTACTGGCCATTGTGTTTTGTTTCAATAGTTCTGGCCTAGGCCTTACAATATCTAAATTTTTTTGTGTGTTTTTATGAAAACATTATCTGGCTATCAAACTCCTTACTCACTGACTAGGGCTATAAAAGCATCATTACACAAAATGTCATTATATTTCATTAAACCTAGCTCTTCCTGGTATTGATATTCTCGATTTACAACAATCTGTAATCCACTTTATTAGTTTGTAGCCAACAAACAAGCCACAAAACTCAAGCCATAATTCAGCATCCACTGATGTTAATCCACTCTTTATAGGAGACTTTTGTTTCAGCACTAGGAACATTGATTTGAACTAATTTGTTTCTCTAATTTAGTACTTTCAGGTCTTGCTTTCCTCTTGGCTTTGCCACACTGTAACTTATACCCGTGGTAAGAGCTACGTTCTTACAGTGAGAGCCACAGCACCCATCACTAGACAGGATAAAGACCAGTGAAAATGCGTCTCCAGAGACTCTGCCAGGCTGAAAGGAAAGGCTGCAAACATTCACAAGACCTTTGTTACAGTGCTGGCTTCAGATACCTTTTATACATGCTCAGAAAGCCCTACTCAATGAAAAGTCTAGAGCAAAACTAGGCCTGATGTAAATGACACTGGCTCCTTATGGGATGCTCCTTATACCATAGATGCAATAATGCAGGCCAGATGATCATTTATGTCATCATTTAAGAAAACCGCTATTAGAATATGTTTTGTAAGATATATGGGAAATGATCTATGCCAAGGTCATAACTTTACAAATAGATGCCATTTTTATTTTTCAAAGGCATTTTCTTAAGTCATAATTTAACTTCTTGATAGACCTAAATTATACAATAAACTTTGGCACTGCGGTTTGTTAATATGAACAATTTTAGGAGAAATTACAAAGGAGCCAAAGAATGTGCGCTATTACGCACAACGCGCACAAATGCGCATCGAGGTGCGAGGTGATAAATTGTGTTTACTGCTGAAATTTGAAAAAAGTTTCAAATTGTAAACAAACGTTAACAGACAGCAACATACCCACTTTCAACTCTTTTCCGAAGACTGTCCTCTCTCCAAGCGCAGAGCAGTTCCAGCGCCCGTTTTTGAACTGAAACTGACACTCGTTGATGCCCATTTGGGCTCCCTCTCCGATGACGATAATGGCATCGGGGCGACTCTGGCAGATAATCCGTTGTCTGGGGGCCAAACCGGGGATCTTGTTACAGATTATGCTCGCACCTAGGGCCACCACCGACGAGAAGCCACTGTGAATGGAAGATGGACATGACTGAGAAAAAGTAGCCATCAACCATTTATATTTTACATTCAAATATTATGGCTGTTGGTTATTAAAGTTTGAGAGTTCCCATACTTTTCCACAACTTTTAAAATCAAATGCGTTTACGCTGTTTTTTAAATAGCACCTGATTGTCATAATCTAAGTATTTAATGCATCCCTGTACCACCAGACAGTTTTAATGGGATGATTGCATTTTAACAGTAGAAATAATCACCAAAACTATTCCTTTCACTTTAGAAGAGATTATATTGTATAAAATGGCTGGGTTAAGGTGCACTTCTAGACTAATTCTGTAAAATTAAAGGCTAGACTAAAGTCGCAGATACTTTTAATTATTATTCCAGCATGCGTTTTACCAACCATTAAAGGTATGATGAAGATAATGTCATTAAGTGATAAGCACTCAGTTGCCACGCGTCTGAGATAAGTTAACGCTCTTCCCTTAATGTTTTATTTATCGTTTATAAAATCAACCACCTACTTTGTAGCAAATATGGGACACAATAGGCGCTTTTGAAGGACCAACAACAGGTAAAAAAATCTCATCAGTTATTCCAAGAATTTTGCGTTTGGTGATAACAACAAACTAATGAGGAGTCAAATAAGCGCGGCTCACCCAATTTTCAAATAAACAATTCCTAGACAAAGTAAAACTCTTAAAATCCAGCGTCGTGTTCTCCGACTCATTGCGGCCCCGCTCTCAGTTTCATGCAACGATCTGTAGCTGATGAATAACTCGGTTCTCTTATTCTCCGATCGATCACAGCACAGGTAACTCCAAAGGAACTCCAAAATGACGAAAAGCATATATAAAAAAAAATAGTACACGCTGTGGAACTTTTACAAAATGCCGGCTAGGGTATCATCCAAACTCCTTTTACGTGGCCCCCTTTCGCTGGGCCCTCTTGTCATTGCGAGGGTGTCACAGGTAACCCTTGGGGAGAGCAAGTGCGATTATCTCTCTTTCTCACAGTTCCTCTGCTACCCGCAGGTCTTGGCTATATATCTGGCTCATCTATCTGGGGCGTGTTCACAGGATGGGGCCCTGCTGAAGAATCCCGCCAGGGCTGAATCACACACACTCATACACACGCACTCCTCTGCTGTGAATTCACCTTGACTGATTGGGATGGCTTTTTATTTGGTTTTTAAGTGGGTCAGGGCTCAAGATAATTTGGCCATAAGCTCATTTTTACGCAGATGTTGCCAGTTTTGCTTCACTGAAATTAACAATATTTTTTAAACACTTGCAAAACAGAAGCATCACCAGAAAGCTGCAGATAAACAATATTAAAACAAAGACAAAGAAAGTAAGATGCATTGTTTTTTTCTTAAAGTAGATACATTATTATCTCCTCAGACTGAATGCTGCTTTCACTGTCAGGTAACAGGTGGTTAAATCCCACTTTTATAATATTTGACACATACATTTATGTCCTTTAGTGTTAATTAAAAATAAATAAATAATGGAATTCATCCACTTCTCGGTTTTATAATGCATCTGATGCGCGCTACCTGCACTGCCTCTCGGGCCTGGACGTTTCTCTGGATCCCCTCGCTTTTATAATGGCGACATCTGGTGGTGCAGTGGAGACCTTGCAGGCTAAAGGCAAACATACCATCCCATGTCCCTGTATTCTTTCCGTAGCTTGCCCCCCCAAAAAAACCGCACCCTCTTTGACATGCAGGAGGGCCATAATCAGTGAGGGCCGGGGTGCGAAAATATTGATGCCAGTATGGACCTTCAACCCCCGCACTTGATCGACGATTGTCTAATTCATATCTTTACATTCCTGACAGAGGAAGACTTAATCAGTGCCTCCAGTGTGTGTAAGGTGAGCAGCGTCCAACTTGCGGAAGTAAGCCTCAGCCGTGCAATAAGAGCGAACATATTCCAGTGAAAAGTGTCTGATTTGTGTCCGATATGTTTGTAGGATTGGCATGAAGTTGCAGAGACTCCTTGGCTATGGAGGTGAGCTTTGTCTATACTTTAATGTATAGCGTCAGAGACATAAATAAAAATAAATGCTGTGTAAACATCCACTTCTGTATGCCGACTTCAGGAGGATGTGTCTGCAGCGCTGGAGTTTCTGTAACTTTGCTGTTTTGTCGAGCGAACACGTCAATCACTCATGGAAGAGATACTTCCTGCGACGCTGCTACTTAGAGGCGAAGATGACGAAAGGTCGCACAGGAGGTTACACCTGCAAAAGCCTCAGAGGACACACAGGTATGCTGTCTCTTTGCTCACTGGGGTCATCTTTGCCTGACTTCATTGTGTGTCTCTCATCTCGTTTTTTATTTTTAAATTTTTTATATATCTGACACATCCATCAGGCAGGGTGGTAGGGTTTGTGTACCTGCAGGAGAATTCAGCTCAGCTTCCTCACCTCTGGAACAGCAGTGCCACAGTGTGCAGCGCCTCTACTGATGGAACAGTTCGAGCATGGAACATCCACAATGTCAGTGCAACAACCCCCCTCAGCATATCATCCTGCATTCTCAGTATAATCATGCCAAAAGTATTTGTACCAATGCAGAAAGTTTGGTTACATACGTGTTTTCTATTTTAGATTCTAGATTTAGAATCTGTGGCATATTGATTGTATGACTTTCATACAGTATTTACAGTGTCACATTATCAGTCCATGTCTAAAACTTACATTTCCAAGTAGTTTTTTTGTTAGATGTGAGATGCCACAAAGTAAACCCAGAAGTGAAAGTGGCAGTGTTTAAATTCAGGCATCATATTACATTCATACCTTTTATTTACACTAAACCAGGGATATGTACCGCAATCATGTGCAAGCCATGTGTATACAGGTTTCATTCCAGTAACTACTCTCCAATAGCCGCCCTGTCCCTGGCTAAAAGCTGAAAAGCCACTGGATTAAATGCTCCCAGCAAGGCATTTATCTGACGCTGCACCTTTTTTCTCTCAGGGTGAACTCCTGTGGTGCAGTCCTGTGCAGAGTCCTTTGACAGGGATTGTAAGTGATGAACAGCGTGAAGTTGTAATCACAGCAGACTCCACCGGCCTCATCAAGACCTGGCAGGGCAAGACTGGCCAGGAGGTGGCCTCCTTTTCTACTGCATCTCCACATTGTACACTACTACAGTATAATGTCAACAACAATTGGTATTTGACTGTAAGTAACCTCAGAATTTTATAAATCTTAAAATAAACAGAATTCTTCTAGTAAAGTAATGTGCACTTTTTATTATCTAGGTTGGAACCAGTCAGGGATCTGTGTGTACACTAGCTGATTCAGCTTTAACTAAAAAGTCCAGCGTAATGGTGTGTGACACCTTTAAAGTCAACATACTGCTAGTTTCACCTGACAAGAAATGGATCACTGCTGGAACCAAGGACAATGATGACTTAAGTCCAAAGGTATTTCTTGTTGTCTTTGACAGTCTGACTTTTGTGTTTCCTGCTCTGGTCTGTTCCTCTGTGCCAATGACACAGTGGGAAAAAATAGGTGGTCAGAGATAAGAAGAATAAAACATTAATACACATTTTATAGATTTGTGTTCTTTGGTTTGTTTCCAGGTGATTTACACTGAGAGTCTGACCTTTCCGTCTGAGGACGAAGATCTTCTGTGCCAATCTGTGCCAGTCATTGGGTGCCAGGCTGCTGTCTTCATACCCACCCAGCCTGCCAGACTGGCCATCATCCACCACAACGAGCACCCACACAACAAAGCCCTCACTGTCTTCGATGTCAGCATTAAAAAGACTAAGTACAAGTCAGAGATCCAGGGTGAGGACTGAGATATGTGCAGATTAACTTTAGTATGCTTTAAATGTGATATGCAATCTTATATTAGCCATTCAAAAATTACAGTCAGTTTGTGAATCAAGACTGCTGGTACAAAAACTGTTAAGTTAAGTTGTGTATTTTCTTTATTCCCGAGGATGACTGGCATGCAAAGACATTTCTACAATGGAATTTAGTATTAGAAAAGTACCTATCTTGTCAGATACTCAAAATCTAAGAGGAAGGGCTTGTTTCTAGACACCTGTTCTCTGTGGTTTGTCAAAGGTAATACTGGGAAATGTGCATAAATCATAATTTAAAATTGATTTAAGTTAAACAGATTGGGTGAAAGTGTGTACCCCAAAATATATAAATAAAAAGGTATACTCTATGACAGCTCCATATCGCAAAGTAAATCCTATAATATACAGTTTAAAGGTTGGATTTTTCCTGGCTTGTGCTGAAATCATTTAAAATCTCTTCTCATCTTAGTCCAGCAGGTGGAGTCCTTCCCTTTGACAGTGAACAGCAGGTCCTCAGACATCCTTCTAGAAGCCAAGGACAGCAACTGCTTAGTGTTGGCAGCTAACCAGGAGCTATGGGTTTACTCTCTGAAAGGAGCCCTGCTTGCTAGCTTTAAAGAGCATACCATGCCTATTTCTTCCATATGTGTGGTAGGCAGTTTTCTCAATTGAAATTGAAATAAATATCCCTTCACCTATTGAAATTGTTTGTTTTATACAGTACATTATACCCTCTATGTGAAGAGCCACATTTAAGTGTCTGAAAAGGGGACCAATTAGTCTTGTTTTCACATTAACAGGATCGTTTTCGTGTAGCGACAGCATCGCAGGACCTGTCCTTACGAGTGTTGACATGGAGAAATGACAGAGACCGTGGGTTGACTCTGGAGAGCCGATACCACTTACTCGGGGGCTCTCACACAATGTCCAGGTACTGTATGCTGTATGCTTTAGCATGGGTCTGATGTATTAGCAGCCAAGTTAGCATCAATAGTTACTAGTGATGCAACAGCCTGAATACAGCTCAATACAATGTTTTCTCTGTATCTCCATGTTGCCTTAGCAGTAATTTCCTAATGTTTTTACTTTATGCTATGTGTTCCAGAGGGTTCACTCATGTTGCCTGTGACTATTCCAGCATTGTGGCCTCAGTAGAAGGGAAAGATGGGAAAGATGTCCTAAAAGCTTATTCTTTCCCCTCCTGAGCATCACTGTTCCACAAAAGGTGCCTACCAGTGAGCAGGTTGTACAACCTACTGGAAGGAGGAATTGCTTTTATTATGTAATAATTATCACATGCTTACATTGGGATGTTCTTTGGTAAGTCTATGTTTACAGAAGAACAGAATGTATTAGGTATTACAGATGATGCTACGTTATGGGAAAGGCATTGACATAACGTGTGAACAACAAGCTTGTTAAGAAATGAGAAGGTATAAAGATAATATTCTATAACTATACTTTTTGAGCTGAGGCATGTCAGTGTTGATGTTGTTGTGACCAGTCTTAAGGCATAATGTATAGCTAAATATATCTTGGTCACCTGTTCTTCAATGTGTTACCTCCACTCACTACTGAGGTAAGAAAATAGTTACGTATTAGTGTCAATGCTCTACATATCATAAGTGTTTATCTTAAGCCCACATTGACAAAATCAGTTATTACATAATAAATCATTTTGTTGCAAGGCACAAAAGCATCCTTGTCTCTTTCATACCCCAAGCACTACACTACATTTACCATGATTGGTAGTACCTATACACAGAAAGGAGACACAAGCGCCTCATCTGCTTCGATGGCCACACATCTCATCTCCTCAAGGACACAACGTAGGACTGTAGTCAAAGACTCGTACACTCTGCTTCCATCGTCTGAGTCGTTTTTCATCTGTTCAAAGGCAAACAAGACTCTCAGATACTTGAAACAAAAACCACGATGAGGAGGGAATGAATTACACTGTTGACATTACTCCCAAAAAATTGCAGGTACTGGATTTCTTACCCAAGTGAAAGCCTTGATTGTACGATTCAGGAATGCATTTTCAACCTTTTCTGGTATCAACAGCATATGAGCCATACAATCTAGTATGCACATCAGTGTTTCTTTAGAGGCCTAGGAAGAGATGAAAATTAGGGTAAAACTAAAATATATATTTGTTGTATGTTGTATATGTTATTTTCCAGGTAATTCATTGTAGTACTATTATCGTTTCAAATGTGAATCAGCAGTATGCACTGACCTGGTCGAGTGTGTTGAGGACACTTTGAGGATCAGTGTTGTGAGGGTTTAAGGCTTTGGCTTCCTGGATGGAAATGACTGGCTCTTTGAGTTGCTCCAGCCAGGCCCACATGAGCCCAGTGAGGATGAAAGGATCCCGCTCCATACACAGCCTTTCCCAGCCACCACCTTGGTTCAGTTCTGCCTGCACACATTCGGGCATTCTGCATGTTAGACCCTGTCTGCCAGTATGTGACTGAGGCACCTTATTCAGAAACATTCAGTTACCTTCATGAATCACTGAGTACAAATTATTTTAATAAGAATTTTGAATGCCATGTACCAGTCACTGTGTGGATTAATGTGTGTTGTTATTGAGCTGTCCTTCACTTCTAATTAGGAAAGGTAATTGTTCAAATCAACTAGACAACTTAAAGTAAAATGTAATGTCAGTAGAAGGACTGCGACTTTTGGAGTAGGGTGCATGGAATAATCCATAATTGTAGTCTGTCATAGTCTGAATATCCAGCAGCTGTATGTAACTGACACATTACATCAGTCTTTGTGGTGTACAAATTCAAGCATAATTTTTAATGCTATTATACACGCATGCCCTCCATTTCTACAAAATACCACCACATCACTAGTATGGGTCATTTACCTGCCAGGCCAAGACTTTGTTCTTGTGCTCTTCTTCTCCATCAAGAAAAAGGTCTACTGCCAGTGCCTGTGCCACTAGCAACCTCCTGGCGTCCAGAGACAACTCTGACTGCAGGGTGATGAAGGGCACCTCCGACTTCTCTGAATGCTCCTCTTTGCAGTTCATCCCATTCATTGCTAACTCTTCCCTCTTTTCTGCCTTCCACCTGGACAACATGCTACCCTTTTTGGTAGGTTCACTGTTTCCCACAGACTCACTACGTTGGATCTTTTTCTGCTGCACTTTCTTCAACAGAATGGATCCATCTTTTTGTTTTTCTACATTTTTGGCTTGCCAGAGTGAGCCTGTTGAGCTGTATGAGATGTCAGACATGTTGCTATTGCAACGCTGCCGCTGGTTTGCAGGGAGAGCCGTTATGGTTGGGGAAATGGACATTTCAACATTACTTTGTGACAAAGAGCCAAGAGGTTGTGTGAGGAGGTTGAGCTGTGAGCCCAGTCGTCTCAAGTCAGACTCACTGTAGCTCAGACTTTTGCGATGGTAGAAGATGGCCGGCTCGTTGAAATGCCTGGGTAAGGTGGGCGTACCTGGTAAGCGTGGCTCCTTTGCAAGCTCAGGGCCCATCTGCTCAATGACGTTAAGAGTCATCTCTATGTCATCAATATCTGGGGCCTCCAGAATGTCTTCCTCGATCACCTCTCGATTTTCTGCAATGTCCACCAGCAGTCTAGACACTACCTGGACAATCTTTGGCAGGTGCCTCAGCTGCTTCCTCTCATAGCCATGCAGTATGTGTCTCTGGCGGTTCAGATACTGGGACAGGGTGACTGGATTGTATCGAGGCTCAGCACAGGAAAACACACTCCTCAAAGGGGCAAGGAACTGTACAAACTCTCTGACGCAACGCAGCTGACCTCGGGTCTGGATGGAATTGGGGCGCTTAGCACGTACATATAAAATAGCCTGGTTTGCAGTCATCCTGGTAGCGTAGGCCAAGAAACTTGCTAACAGCACACCTGGAGGGAAGAAAGGAGAAACCCTTCATTGTGTTTCAGATTGTGCAGATGAAAGCTCAAACTGTTCTGAAAGTCAAAATACTCTATACTCTAACATTCCCTACAAAGCTACCTGTTCTTCCGAGACCAGCGTGACAGTGGACTGCTATCCTTCCCTCCTGCAGTGAAAAGGCCATGACCTTCACCATGTCCAGAACAGTGGTGAGGTTGGCCACTCCATAGTCACTCCAGCCAAAATTGTAGAAATAAACTGAAATGGTAAGTTGTTTTAAGTTATACCTGAGCAACAATACAGATTTATCAAGAAATATTGTCCGAAGCACTTACTGTTGTTTTCCATGAAGACCTCTGGGCGGTATGAGAAGCCACTTTCTGGCTCCAGAGGCTTTCCACAGCTGGCATGTTCACCAGGTATCTGTAGGTTGATCACTGTTTTAATACCATACCTTGACACAAACACACACACACA